CGGCTCAGGATGAGAAGCCTGTTCAAGGACATCTGGCGTTTTCAGGGCCTGTCAAGCTGACACCTGAGGACAACCCTACCTGCCCAAGGTGGGCGTTAGGGAGCAGAGGCCCCGCCCCCCATGGGCTTGGTGTCTGGGAATTTTTTTTGTGACTGACAAAGAGCAAAGCGGCCTTTCAGAAATGTCGGAGAGAGCTCAGAACTCAGGTTTGGGATGAAGCACTTCGCAGGAAGATTTCCACTTCACGCGCTTTGATGCGGGACAATTACCCGTTGAAATATATATATATATAATTTTTTAATAGAAATGCCTTTTAAAGAGTATGCGATAGCTCATCGTCCCATTTTTCCTGCTGAATTCATCTGTCCTACATATGTGGGCTGCAGCACTCAGCTGTAAAACTCAAACTGAGCATAATTTTACAGCCGCAATTAAAAGTCTAAAGGCCTGTGCATTGCAGTGCTGACGGGCGTCAGCCTGCAGCGAGTGGCTGTGAGTCGGTGCACGCGTGTGAGGGAATGTCGACTGTGTTTAACGTGCGCGTCGGGTCGCACCTGAAGTACAATCGTGTCTGAAGCACCGACTCATGGTACTTTCAACTCCTTACTCTCGTACGTCGGAGTTGCTTTGGTTTTGTTTTTGTTTTTTGTTTTTTGTTATTCAGGAAGTACCTCCTCATCGGAAACGATGTAATTCCATATTAATTAAGAAACACGTATAAAGGCCCTAATAGGCGCCCCGCAGCCAGCCGGGCCTTCTGGGAACGCAGGGGAGTTGGATTCCACCACAAGGAGGCCGGTGGTATTGGGGGAATGCGCCCAGAAAAGGCCATCGAGCTCTGCGTGTGACAAGCGGCAGGAATTCGGTCCCGATGGCGCTCACCCACCCGAGGGGCTTGGAAAGCGAGGGGCCCGTGGGAGGCTGCGGCCAACGGCGGGCGGGATGGCAGCAGCGGCCGTGAGCGCAGCGCGGGAGGCAGCCCGGAGCCACGCGCTCCGGGAAGGCCGCGCAGGAATGTCCGCGAGGGCTGTTTCTGTTTCGGGGCCACGGCAGCAAGCCCCAGCCAAACCGGCGTCAGCGGGAGGAAGTTCGTTGTCGCGGAAGACCCGGGCCTCCAGGACCCGCAGCGGACTCAGCAGGCGGTCAGAGCCCGTTCCTGCGCCTCCGCGCGCTCCGCCTCCGCGCGCTCCGCCTCCCTGCGGCGTCGGCTCCGTCTGCAGCTTCTCGCGGCCCCCGGATGTGGGGAGTGGCCCTTGGCCGACCGTGCTCCCCAGAGTGGGGTCCATTATAAGTAGGAAGTTTCAGCACAAGTCCCCCCGCGTGCTATCCACGGGGTCGGGCCCACCCTGCTGGTGCCGGTGCCAAGGCACGGAGCGAGCTTGGGTTTTGCTCCCACGTCACCCGCCGCCGGCCCGTCTCAGGGCCCCACAGAGGGTCACCTTCCCTGGAGCCGCAGAGTGCGGTGTGGGGGAGGATGTCCAGAGGGAAACTGAGGCACAGCCTCGCCGGAGTAAATGCCGCTGTGCAAGCCGATGAGAGGGGCCACCATGAGTCTGCTGGTGCCATGGGGGCGTAAGAGCAAGAACTGGACGCCGGACGTGTTTGCTGTCAGCAGGTCGGGACTCAGGCCGAGGGGCTGGACTCGGAGGAGCTGCGAGCACATCACACTGGAGGGTAACAGACCAGTCAGCCGCGTGGAAGAGGGACCTGGGGCAGGAAACGCTGTGACCTCGACCTCTCCTGCACGTTCAAAAGCCACCACTTTCGCCGAGGGTCTGCGGTGTGCGGTGAGCCGTGGAGAGCGCAGGGAGGGTGTCCCCGCCCTGCCCTTGCCCTTGCCCTCCTCCGCGGCTGTGGTGCGGCAGGGGAGACCGTGCTGGAACACTCAGGACTCACAGCGGTGACAGCAGCAGGCTTCGGGGACACAGGGCGGGAGGAAGGTCTAAAACGAGCCACAGTCCGCCGCGGAGCCGGAGGCCCAAAGGAGAGGCCTGGGGCGGGCGGCATCGGCCGGGACGTCCTCCAGCGCCAGTACACTGTCGGCAGCCCCCACCTCCGCCGTGCAGCCCTGGAGACCAGGGCGGGGACCTGGGTGGCTGGGAGACCTCCTCTCTGCCCTCCGGCCCAGGCTTCCTCTGAGCCGACTGCTCCAGGGCGAGGCCAGACGCACAGTGGACCCTGGCCTGCAGACCCCGACGGGGGCTCGGCCATCGGCGTGGGGACACTGCCGGCGGTGTCTTCCCCGCGGTTCAGTCTGGCTGCGGACGGAGCCGGGGGGAGCCGGAGTGCGGGGCTCTGATGAACTCTGGGTCAGGCGACCGACCCCAGGGTGAGTGGGGAAAGGTTGCTTGGCCTGAGGCAGCGAGGACACCAAGGGAAGTCCCTCCACGTGGCTGCGCCTCCGCTCCCCGCCGAGAAAGGCAGAGCGTGGACAAAGAATGCCTGACCAGCTCTCCATTCCAAGCATCTGTAAGTGTGACAGAAATCCCTCTCCCGTCCTTGGCTCCCCGGCGTGGGGTCCTGCCATGAAATGTTTCCGAAAACAACTGCCAGGAAGGCCCTGGTGCCCCTGCGCACGCGAAAGCACCGGCCACCACTTTCTCCCAGGTGAACCCGGGCTCGCCTCCAGGGGCGAGCACCGGCCAGGCTGCCAACTGGAGAAACTGGTAGGGGTGGCAAAGAGTGGCCGCTGGTAAGGGCCAGGGCAGGGGGACAAGTGTGGGAGGGCGTAGGGTTGCCCTTGTAGAGACATGGGAAGGTGAAAGGGGACCCGGGGGCCATGGGCACGGCCTCAGCCCTGTCCCCTGCTTCTGTGTGGACGGGGCTACGGTCTCCGTGGGGACATGGCCTGTTTCTGTGGCCGCAGCCCCGAGCGTGGCTTGTGCCGCTGAGTAGATTATGGGAGAGGAGGTAACCATGGAGACGGACGGTGCGCGGGAGACTGGGGAGAAGTATTCCGAGATCAGTTCTCATGTGAGCTTTACCTTGCCTTGGTTTTCTCCGGCCTGCAGTTCCTTAATTTTAAAACAATATCCTAAATCGAATTGTAAAGAAAAAGTGTTCCGTTTCTGGGGATCCTTACCCCGTAGGAAGCCTTTGCACACCCCTCTTCCCTCCAGCACATCCGGGAGGGAGGGTGGGGCGCCTGCTCCTCCTCTGACTGAGCACCAGGTGTTCGCACGGCCCCCCACGGGCAGAGCGGCCCCCGGAGCCCCTGGCAGCGCACCCCTTTCCTTCCCCCACCGGAAAGCCTCCGTCCAGCCCGAGGCCGAGGGCTGCTGCTTTCTCAGGAAGGTAGAACACAGAGTTGTTCTTTCATGAGCCAGGGAAGAGTTTATATTATTCTCGAATCAACTGCAGAATGGATTTCATGTGAGCCAGAGCAAATGCGTGTCTGTTCTTCTACAAACACTCCCGTCCGCACCAACGGAACACTTCTAGTGCGTTCTGGAAGCAGAACGCCACATGTCCTGACTTCACAGTGTTTTCAATAAGGTTAGGAATTTGGGTTTAGGATGCCGAACGTAACATAAAATCAGTGGGTCTCAGAGCAAGGTCTGCGTCCTCCAGGAGGGTCCCGAAACCCTGGACCAGTGGAAGAATGACACGGACATTTCAGCAGGCCCGTGACTGAACCGTCGTACGGACAGCCCAGCGAAACGCGGCGTGAATGGCTCACGCGTGCCGTCCCCCGCGGCGGTCTGTAGCACCGTTGTTCGGTTTGCGGACGGTGTCCCCGGCAGCGCAGCTGAGCCGAGCACGGCCGTTGGCGTGCCGGCCCCCCGCACCGCCTCTCCCGGGGTCTTTATGGCTTCCTTTGGGAGCTGTCACGGGCCTGCTCCCGAGTGCGCGCTGATCTCAAGCTCCGCTGCGGCGGCGTGAGGGGCTGGGCTTTCGCTTTGTTCTCCGAACCAGGCCGGCTCTAAATTTATCTCTGCCCTTTGAAGAAGCTAATAGTAAATTTTCAAGAGGAAAAAATGGTGGTCGATATCCCGGTGGAGGAAAAGTAATCTCTTAAAAGCGGAATAACCTCCAGGTTACATCCTTTTAAAGGGGGGGCTTTCAAACCAGGACGCCGTCAACTTTTTTATGTGCGCTCTGTGTTTTCCTCCGGGCTCTGGGCCGGCTGCACGCCCCCTGGGTAGGGCTTTCCCCTAGCAGCCCGCCCCTCCCGCACCCACTAAATCTGGGATGAAGGCCGCCGCTCGCGGGGTGCAGAGCGCTGGCTGGAGTGCACGCCCCAGGGAGAAACCCAGGGGAAAGGAGGCACCGAGCCCGGCCGTGCGAGCACCTGCAGAATCGAGTCTCCGTCGCCTAAACGACCTCACACCGCGAGTGAAATGGGCTTTGTAAAAAGTAAAATCCTTGCCAAGGGCTCCCCTCGGTTTCATCGGGTTCAGAGCCTTTGCCTTCTCAGGCGTCGGCCTCATTCCAGCTGAAGCCATTCCTCCCGGGCCGGGACGCAGCACCCCCCCACCCTCCCCAGGGCCTGCAGACACTGCGGCGGTGGTTGGAAAGGGGGAGGCGCTACGTCTTGGGAGGGGCCTGCGGCTCTGCTCCCGGTCTGGCCGCCTCCTCCCCTCGAGCCGGGTTCTGGAGCTGCGTGCGCGGCGTGCCGACCCAGGAGGGCCTGCCTGGCGTCCTCCCGAGTCGGGCCACGGGCCTGGGCCCCTGTGCCAGGGCCCTCTGCTGGCCCGGGGGCCCCGAGGCCAGGCCTGCGGACCTGGGCGGGTCTGGGTGGGCCCTCGGAGGGGTGGGACCCACGACATCATCCCTCCTGCCTGTGCCTGCGGAGGACAGGACGGGGGGCTCCCCGGAGCCCACCCGGGGGAACCGAGAGCCCCCCGGCAGCGGGCGCCTGCTGTGGACGGCAGCGAGCGGCCCTGGTGGACAGGCAGACAGGCTCCCCGTCTCCCCGACCGCAGGCGGCGTCCAGAAGCGCGTCCGGTGCCACTGCCTGCGGCCTAATTGCCCTCTTTCTCATTTTATGCCCCTGCCAGACCACCGCTCTTGATAAGGAGAGGCAGGTTTTCCGACGAAGACGCCACGCGGATGTGAGGAGCCGCTACCAGGCGCAGCCAGCTCCGCCCGAGCTCAACTCGGAGTCCGAAGATTACTCCCCGAGCTCCTCCGAGACCGTGCGCTCCCCCAACTCGCCCTTTTAGCCGCCCCCGCACTCCCGGCCCCCGCTTCGCCCTCTGAGACTCGGAGACGTTCTCCCGAGTTTATTTACGTGAGAGACAGTGTCCCCCGATCTATCTAGCACCCCGCGCTCCGACGGCGGAACAGGACGCATGTTTCCTGGCGTCTGTAGCGACCTCCCTGTGCCGGGCCCGACAAGGACCGGGGTCTGCGGAGACGGGCCCTCGCTGCCGCCGACAGGGTCCTCAGAGGGTTAAGGCGCCTTGGCGACATTTTTAAACCTAAACTCAACGACTCTTTTCCTCGGTCAAGCCCGTGTGCGGCAAGCACACGCTAACCCTCTGAGGGCATGGGCCGGGCGGGCACCCCTCGGGGGGTCGTCCAGACCTGGGACACACACACACACACACACACACACACACACACACGTGTCTTGACTTTGCTGCGGATCCGGGAGTGTTTTCGGATGCTGAGATGTCTGGACCAGAGAGGCCCCCAGAGTGGTAACTGGCTTGTCCTTGCCCGTGGGTTTAGAACGTGGCAGGTTCGTGACTTAGGCATAAGCGCCCCCGTTTCTTCTGCATAATCCGATTCAGAAAGGGACTTTTTTCGTTGGAGGTATGACCGTCAGCTGCCGTGAGGCCCGCAGCCCGAGTGGGGGGGGGCTGGGTCCGTGGCAAACAGCCTGCCCCCCCCCCGAAGGAAAATGGTGCGCCCTCCCCCCAGCCCTCCTCCACGAAGATGTGCTGACGATGCCCCAGAAATGCGGCGTCCACCTCAGCCTCGGCTCGCCCGCGGGCGGCCTCCCGCCGCGGCTCGTGCTTGGTGAGGGAGGGTCTCAGCTTGGGACACCTCCAGGAGACAAAACAAAGCAAATCAAATAACCAACAACTGGTGGAAAAGAGCAATACATTGCCAGGTGCTCTCTAGGGCTGGGGTTCCAAACAGAGAGAGGAGGTGAGACCCTGGTGTTTTTCTCACCTGCTTTTTCACGCCCTGCGTCTTCAGTGTGAGGTCCACACCGTCCAGTCCGCACACGGGAGGCTGGGGCTGGGGGGGACGAGAGGCCAAGGGCTTTGCAAGGTGGCCAAGGGCAAAGCGCAGTGAGAGAACGACCCGGAACATCCCTAACGTGGCTTTTAAGGAAACGAGCCGCTGGTGAGTGTGCACCGTCACGTTCCCTGCGCAGACTCTCCCGGGAGGGACCGGGAGGAGGGCGGGCAGGCGTGCCCCCCGGGCGACCCCTTCCGCTCCCAAGGTGACCTTCCCACAGGCCACTGTCTGTCGCTGTCCAGAGGGACCCCTCGTCTTCCTCGCCTCTCTGTGGGCCGAGTCCCGTCTGCGATCCGAGTTTTCACTCCCGCCACCGTTGAGTTTTTTCTGGAATGCACGGTCACCGTGATGCTTAGGGCAGAGGCTAGCCGCGGGGCCTCGGAGGCGGGGTCCCGTGTGCTCGGTGTGGGACCCCGGAGAGCCAGTGAGTGACGTTCGTGACCTTCGCACCTGCACGGCTGAGCGGCACTTCCTGGCCCTGTTTGGAGCACGTCCCAGTTCCTGCAGGTGTCCGGCCTTGCCCCGGTCGGTTCCTTACTTGCAGATGCACGTCGGCCTTCAGCGGCTGACCTTGGCCCTTCCCCTCCTAAGCGGTGGGCTCTCCTGACGTAGACTTTAAGATCCTAACGTGTCATGATTTTCACGTCACGGTGTGCTCAAAGTTTTTGCTCTGCTACACGTAGGTTATTTCTTGGGTCCGCATTGCCCTGGCAGGTAAACGGCAGGTCATTTACCGAGCGGTGCCCCCGGGGAGCCCCGAGACCACACCGCACAGCAGCAGCGCTGAGCAGCCTGGCCCAGTCGGGTGCGGGGTGGGGGCACGGGGCGTAACGCCAGGGAGGGTGTGCGGGAAGGTCCCCATCGGGCTGTGCCCTGGACTGGTCAGAGAGGACGCTGTCTCAGAAGGACGAAGGGAAGCTCCGCTCCCAGTGCCTCCGGAGTGGCCAGGCAGCTCAGGCCCCCGACTCGGAACCTGCGGACGTGAAGAATCCCGCGGGCGGAGCCCTGCCCGCGGGGCCTTGTCGCTCTCCTGCCTTTCCCCGGCTCGCTGCTCTTCCCGCCAGCACCCCGTGCATCACGCCGGCATCTGGGACTCAGAGCCCGCAGCTCGCGGCCCCGGCACACCGCAGGGGCCCCTCAGCCTGGGGAGCCCGGCGCACGGCTGCGGGAGGGGTGGTCCGTGCCGGACCCCACGCAGTGGCGTGTGGCCTGCCAAGTAGGGATACCGAGGGGCCGGACGGGAGGCCGTGCTTTCCGCATCAAGCCGCCGGGACCCCGGACACCAGGGCCGCACTCGAGGTTCCCCGACAAGCACAAGGCCCGCTGGCAACGGGGGGGAGGCTCCAGACGCCGGGCTTTCGGCCCGCGCTTCCTCGTTTTTTCCCCGACATTCCCGGGATAGTTCGAGGTTGAAGTAATTAAGTGGTGGTGTTCTTGAAGGAATTCCTATGACCACATCGCCCTTTTTTCTTTTTTCCATTTTGTCATCGAATAGATATGTACCATGACGGCAGTGAACCTCTGTGATTACCGATTCAGTCACTGCCTCACGCAGCCCCCTACTTTTTCCTCTGTATTTGATCGCATTCTTGCCGCCGTGGCCTGGTGGGTGGGGCTGTCTTTCCTTCGGGAACACAGGGCCGGCGTGCGGCATGTTCTAGGGGACTGTAAGGCCCAGCTCTCCCGCTCCGTGGTAGACGGGCGAAGAAAGAACTCTTGCATTCCTCGCATCGTGTACCTCGCCTCTGCAGACAAGGGCCGTTCGCAGCGATGAGTGCTTTCCTGCCCCTGACGTTGCAGCCGAACCCCTTTCACGCATCACAGCCAACGAGCCTGTGCTTTGCTCCCCGCCATTAGAAGGAACGGTGAGGTTTCGGTCCCTGGAGGTGTTTCCACGGTAGCCCTCGCCTCCCTGACGCATGGTGCACATGAGAACAAGCAGAGAAAAACGCAAATAAACGACTGAAAATGCTTGGTGTTTCGTATTCGGTGAGACGCGTGTGGGCTGCCCAGCACCACCCGCCCCACCCCTCGGCTTGCGGTTAACAGCCCCGTCAGGTGCTGTGGAAAGAAAGCAATATATACGTGCATGAAGGCTGCAGTTGCAACCCTTTCCCCTTTGAAGCGTGTTTCAGTTGGGGGAAAAAAAAGAGGAAAGAAAAATTGGCTTCGCTTAGAGGGTCACGGAGCTACCATCCGACCAGAGCTCACGCACATTAAATCACAGCTGTTTGCTGGCCACGGGCGCCCGACAGGCGACTCGGTCCCCGTGCGGGGGCGCGGCTGGGCTCGGGTGGCGGGGAGCTTTCTCAACGTTACGGCGTTGCCTGCCAGCCCTTCTCAGGGTGACTGTCGCATTTCCGTGATAAACTGTTTTCAAAGGTTTTTAATTTGGCCATAAAAAGGTGCCCCGGGCTGGTTTCCTCTGCACTGAAGGTCTGACCCGGAGTGAGGGTTCATCGCCTCCTGCTCTCTGCCCGATTCTCCTGAGGAAAGAACAGCCAAAACGCAAGCAAGCAAGCAAGCAAGCAAACAAACAAAGCCTGGTACAGCTTCGCCTGCATCGTCCCTTCAGAACTTTGGAAAGCCCCGAGACCCAAGATGGCAGCTGAATGGAATTATTCCTTAGGATGTGCGTTTCAAAAAAATCAAATTAGGAGCCACCTGGTATATACTGTAGATAACGTCGCTTTTCTATAATTTGTAAATCACTACAGTTTTCAATGCTACCTGATCTTCTCCGTCCAAGCAAAGTTGTTTAAAAGCTCGAAGGTGGTCCTTCCGAGGGTTAGCGTGCCCTGGGTGTTGTCTGCCACTTGCATTCGGCGTTTGGGAGAGACACCCTCAGCCGAACCCTTGCACTGCATGCCGTGGGGAGGGGGCAGATGCCCGCTTCCGTAGGAGACAGGGGTACTCTTTTTTTTAAACTTAAACATCAAGTTCCATGAAGCCAATTCAAGTCTGTTGGGGAAAAGAGTAATTAAAACTCTCCCCCAAAGTAACCACTTTTGGTCAATTCAGATGTGGTGAGGCGCGTGTCGGTGAACACACTTGAAACGATTTTTGTTTAAAAGCACATCGACCCACAACCCTTGAGGACACGCTGATGGGCTTTTCAAATGGGCTCAGCGGCGCTTGTGCACGAAGCAGGAACACGTGGGTGGGCTCCCAGGGACGGCCATCGTCACGGGAGTCTGGAATGTGTATGTCACGATGTCCTGGCGGTGGAGGGGACAGTCTCTGAGGTGCCCGTAGTTCAAACACGCGGCCGCATGCCGAGGGAAGTGTAAGGCCCCGAGCTGGTGGGAAACGGGAAGCTCAGCGCAAGAGGCTCCAGGTGCCTCTGGCGGAGGTGGGGGTTCCCCCCCTTTACTTTCGCTCCCCTCCCCCGCAGCCCCCATGGTCGTGGTCGTGCTGGGGCTCCAACACGGAAACTGCCGCGATCATCTTTCAGGGAGGGCGTGTCCCACGGGCAGGTGTTTGGACCGTGAGGCTCACAGCATCTTGCCCTCGGGGACCAGGGAGAGATCTCATTTCTTTCTTTCGGCCCCGGAGGAAAGGCAGGGTCTGCCCTGAAACCAAACCCTCGAACCTCAACACCCTCCTCTTCTCGTCCGCCGAGAGCCCGTAATGGTTCTCCAAGCCTCTGCTGTGGGTTTTAAGAGAACGTGGGACGTCGAAAGGGATGATAGAGATGCTGTCCTGTCACTTGCTTCCCGTCCACCTCGCTGCGGTGAGAAAAAGACCTTGAACCGTTCTCTAGGGGCAATTCCTCACTTGCCATTGACGTTAATCTGCGATGTATTCTCAGAAAAAAAAAAGTAAAAAGAAATTGAAACCGGTCCAAGGTTAGGGTCATATCCTCGATAACTTTTTAAAAATTTTATGAAGAAATTAATAACGGCCTTTTTTCATTCTGGCTGAAAGGAAAGTTATTAAAAGATTAGTTGAGTGTGAAATTAAATAGTATTTTGGTCATGCATACTGAAAAGGTGGGCTAGGAACTCGATGCATTTAAGCAAGTTTCTGAAAGGTTTCAATGTGGGGCAAGAAAGAAAGTTCAATATTTCCTTTGAAAAGACTGAATTTGTCAATTGCTGCATGGATCAGGTGGCATAGGTTAATTTTTGATTTTGAGACTCTTAATGGAAGAACTTTCCAACGATTTGTATCCATGATTAAAGCTGGAATGAGATCCAATTTTTTCCTAATCTCTCCGTTTAAGCTAATAAATGTAGGTTACTGTGGGATGAAGTCATCTGTGGTATACGATGTTCATTTATCAACTGAGCTTTTTTGATGTTGCCTGTTTTTATGTAAACCATGTTCTTAAAGTTAATAAAAGAATAGTACTCGGTGTATGAACCACTGCTACGTCATGCCCTCCCTGCAGAGCCCCTCCTGCTTTCCCCCGGCCAGAGCGGAATGCGGTTTCCCTCCGGTTCAATTCCTAACCGACCCCGGCGGCCCACAGAGGACGCGCCCAGCTGTGTTCCCGGGGAGAAGGCGCTCCGAGCGAGGCTTTGCAGATTAGTCATGCGGTCAGAATGCGGCTTTCCCACATGTGCCCCAGAGCAGAGGGTCCATTTCATGAGAATCGTCCAAAAACAGCTATTCCAAAAATGTCCTTTTCCTCTGCGACCGTCCCGCCTGGGCCTGGGACTTGTGGAGACCTGGAGAAAGAAAATACAGCTCAGCCCGGTTATTCCTGCAACCTGTGCACACCAGGGCTCCAGAGAAGGGGGTGCCTGCCCCTGACCTGGAATCAGCTACTGTCTTCATGCCGATTTCCCGTCAGGCACTCTGTGGGCAAGACTGGCCTTAGAGAAGTTTGCAGAGCGGCACCACGAGTCCAGCCCTTTGTCCGTGATTTTTCCAATGCCCGGAGGTTGAAAAGGCAGCCGCCAAGAGTGACGGCCGGTCCCCTAGTGTCCTGTAGGTGCCAGCGTACCCCCCAGCGCCCGTAAAATCAGCAGTCCCCTTCCCCTGCCGCGGCCGGCTGCTGCTTCGCGCTGAGTTTCCCCGGCACCTGGTGGTGAGGTCCAGAGGCTCTCTCCAGACTCCGGGGACAACTGCTGGGAAACAGTAGCCCAAGGGGTTGCCCCCTATGGCCCATTACCTTGATCCAGGAGCTCTGGCAGCTCCCCCCAAAAACCTGCCGCCCAAAACATGGGCCCTGACGTGCGACCCAACCCCGGAACTGGAGAGGGTGAGGAACTGGGGAGATTCCTGCCCCGGGAGGAAATCAGGAGAGGAAGGCGTCCCCCAACTCCGATGGCTGGTGGTCGGAGAGGTGGGGTTTGTTCCGTGCGGATAAAGAAGGAGGTAAACAGGTCAGAGGAACAGGGCAAGGGGCCCCCTGGGAGATGTCTTAGCGCCTCTCCTCAAACGGAATAAAGAGCTGTGCTCTAACTTAAGGCCGTGGCTGTTCCCCCCCGCCGCCCGCCCCCGAGCCCCGGGAGGGGCGCCCAGGGAAGACAAGGACCCCGCCCAGCCAGCTGGACCAGCCAAGTCCGCGCTGGCCATCCGCACGGTGACAGCTGTCCCTGCCAGCTTGCCTGCACATCGAGATCACTCATTCGAACATGTCTTGAGCGAGTGCCAGGGGCAGGCAAGGAGCTGCGCCTGGGCTGGGGACAGAACGGGGGCCTCCCCTGTCCCTGTGTGTGTTCACCGAGGACGGGGAGGCTTGGAGGACAGGACGGCGGGCCTCTGGCGGGGTGGTCCTCGGGCTCTCCGGAGACACGTGGTCCCGAGCGCAGACACACAGCGCCCACAGCCAGGGCGACCGTGTGGCCGGCAGCGCGGACACTCCCCCGGGAGGCCTGGCGGCTGCCATCTGCCCGCGCAGCGGGCGCACCGCCGCGCTGGAGCTCTTGGCTGGGCTCCTGGCCGCGGACGCACGAGGCCTCCTGGAGTCCTCCCGGCCATCTGTAATTGGCCCACGACTTCCAGCCGCGTCCCAGCGGCGTGCCGAATGAGGTCCATTTGTTCCACGAGCGTCACCGAGGACCCACGGCGAGCCCTGTGCCGGGAGGCGTTGGGGAAGGAGACACGGTTGCTGTTCTTCCGAGTCGAGGGTCGAGGGGCCACGTCTCAGCACGCGGGGGTCCGTGTGGGCCATGGGCAAGCCAGCCGCCCGCCAGGTGCAAACGCCGCTGTGGCCGCTTCTGTCTCAGCAACTCACCTGCCACTCTTGGGAAACCCCGAGAAGGAGGGAGCGCGAGGGGAGACCAGAGGAGGGGGGAGAGGGAGGGAGGGCGGGGGGACAGGAGGCTGCCGCAGTGTTAAGTCCGGGCGTGTCCCTGGGAGAGATGAAAAGGAAGGGAGAATACTGGCGTCTGACAGCGTGTCCCTCAAAACCAGTTGGAGGAGATGCTTAGTGGGAATCACGGCCGTGAACTGGCACAGACCTCACGTGACCTTTGTTTTTTTCTAGCTCCTTCGTGCATCAGTCCCCTAGAACAGGGCGGCTGGTGAGACCCCACTGACGGCACCGGAGCGAGAGAGAGAGACCCACTGACCCAAAACACAGCTCTCTCCTTCCTGGGCGCACGCCCACCCTGTCCCCTTTCCTCCTCTGCCGCGGGGCGATAATTAACGTTCCGCCCCAGAGAGAGGCTTTGCTACTCCCCCAGAAGCACCCACTGATCTGCCGGGTTGGCCCGGGGAAGGGGGTGAACGCGGCCTTGCCGGCGGGCCTTCGCACCGGGAAAGAGCCTCTGGTTTCCGACAGGCCCCTCGAGGCCCACATCCGCCCGGACTTCTCGGTTTCCTTCCTCGACACAGTCGCCCCGTTCCCGCCCTCCTACACGGTCGGCTTTTTAACTTTTATTTCCAACAACGCTTTCTAAGACCTCAGTCTCCTGCTGAGCAAACCGTTTCTGCTTCACCGACAGCTTCTGTCGCGCCTGCTCACCCCACGGAGGGAGGTAGAGCGTTCGCACCGGTTTCTGAATTTGGGAAACTGAAAACTTGGGGCATCCCCTGATTCGCTCCAGGTACCCCCCCCACCGCTCCCGGTGGCTCTGCGGGGGGCTCTCCCCAGCTGCCCACACCCGCCTCTGCAGAGCTGCCCACAGGCCTGGACGCCTTCACCCCCGCCCCCGCACACCCCCCGGCAGGCCCCCCTCCCCCCCCGCCGTGTCTGCGTGCAAGTGCGGGTGCACACCCACAGCGGGCAGCCCGGTGGGAGGGGGGACGGAGGAAGCAGCTGTCGCCGCGGTAACCGGGTCTCCAACCCGCCCAGGGGTCCCTGGTAAGGGAGGCTGAAGGCCAGCCAGCCTGGGCAGCGGGCCCGCCGGGAGGACCCGCGTCCCCCGCAGAGCCTCAGGTCTCCCTGGTGCCCGCTGACGGGAGCCCCCGGGGGCCCCTCTTAACCGGAGCCCGGGAGGCAGCCACCAGGCCCCTCGCAGCAGAGGGTGGTGCCCCGGGCCCACGGTCACTCCTGCGGGTCACAGCCAGGGTCGGCCGACTCTGCTCCACCGCTGCCGCGTGGACAGGGCATTCCCAGGCGACAGAGGGGCCGGGGTCTCGGCCTCTGACCGCCCCCCAGGGCCCAGCTCTGCCGGTCTGGTCCGGCAACAACAGGCACATAAACCTGGGCTGGTGACACTGAGGCTTTAACCTGCTTCCTCCCCAGGGGCTCCTCTGCCCCCTCCCCCGCCAGCACCACGCGGGCTGTCTGCCGTCAAGTCCAGGGTCGCCGCGGCTCCATGTGGCCCTGAACCCAGACCGGCCTCCGGGCGCCCTCTGCCTTCACCCCCACGTGCCCGCGCCAGCCCGGACGCTGGGGAGCCGTGTCCAGGCAGGCGGGCCCTCAGGACAGGGGCAGCCTGCGCCCCCGCGGGGGCGGAGCCCGTCTGGAGGGAGCCAAAGCCGGGCGACAGGAGGCTGTGGGCCCTTTGCTGCTCCCCGGGTCCTGAATCCAGCCACGCACCACGAGCCCACGCGAGCCGGGGGCTGTGAGGGACGGGGGGGGGGGGGTTTGTTCTGAAACCCCCGGGGCCGGCGACACTGAGCTCGAAGGGCTGGGGCCCGCAGTGCCTGCCCCTGCCCCTGCCTGCGGGGTTCCCACGCTGCTTCCCGGGTGGGTGTGGGGGGCGGGGCGTTGTGACCAGGCCCCTGTGGAGTGACCATGGAGTGACCTGGGTGTGTGCGTGCATATGTGTGTATGTGTACAGACGTGTGGGTGGTAGTGCGTGCACATGTGCAGACCTTTGTCTGTGATGTGTGCATGACTGTGTGCTCTGTGTGTGCATGTGTGCAGCATGCATGTAGTGCACATGCACGTGCATTTGTGTACGATGGTGCTCTATGTGCAGCGTGCTGCATGCATGTGTGGGTGCACATGTGCACACATGTACCACGTGCACGTGCGTGTGTTCTGTGTGCATGTGTGAAGTGTGCTGTGTGCGTTGTGTGTGCATGTGTGCACGGGTGTGTGCTGTGTGTGTGCACATGCATCATGTGTGCATGTGTGAACACTTGCTGTGTGTACACACATGTACGGGGGCACCGAGCACACGCAGAGCCTGCAGCGCACAGGGCAGCGGGCGTCCTGCTGACGCAGCCTCACGGGCCCCGGTGTGTGCCCCCCTCCCCCACGGAGACCCCCTCCTGCCCCCGCAGTGCCGCTCCCAGGGGTCCAGGAGACTCAGGCCGGCCGGGGCTCCCTTCACTCCTGACCCCCCCCACGCTTCCTCTGGCCGGGCAGCGAGGCCGCTGCAGGGCTCTGGGTCTGAGGGGTCTCCCCGGTCTGCGAGCAGCAGCAGGGTGTGGTCGGGCCCTGAATGGGGGGCGCCCCCGCTTGGGTCCCAGGCAGGTCTCCTGTCGGTTGTCCCCCCCCACCCTGAGCGCGGGTGCTCTGTACCAACACCCACGGGAACGGCCGCCCGCAGGCCACGGGAGCCCTAAACATGTTTGCGTGTGAAATCAGTGGGCATTACTGTCCCGCAGCGCGGTCAGCCGGCTGCGCCGTGATGTCCACTGTCTTCCTGCCCATCGGGGCAGCTGCAGCCGGGGCTGCCCAGGGCACTGGGTGCCGGGCTGCGCCCTCAGCTCCTGTGAGAGCCTGTGTTCCTCTACTCGGGTCCAGCGGCACCGAAAAGCCAGGTGAAAACTGGGTTTTTCGAGCCCAAAGTCCCGGAGTCACAGCCGTTTCCCTCCGATGCCGTCCTCCGGCCAGAGGGCAGGAAGTGGGGCCGTTCCGGATGTCACGGGGGCCTCGAGTGCCGAGCCAAACAATGAATGGGCCTCTAGGGGTCTCTGCGGGGAGTGAGGTGCCCAGATGTGAGCTGTTAAAGGGCGACTCTGCCGGCGGAGGGGAGCGTGGTCGGGCACGGCCAGCGGGCTCCCCTCGTCTC